TGTCTGTGCTCGGATATTTACTCCTTGCTCCTTTACTGCAAGTACAGAGCCTGGCCTGCTTAGTGACCCACCGTGGACAGTCGTTCCAATAACGCTCCCCAGTCTCTCTGCGAACTTATCATCAACCCCTGAGCCTGGGACCTGATTGCAATTTCTCCCGTCAAGAAACATATGCATTTTCCGTGTCCTGTATCTGCCAGCTAATGCCCCATTTTGTCTTCTTAGCAACACTCCTCTGAAGAGTAGGAAATCGGAGTCTGATTTCCCTTGAATGATATTCTGTCTTGCGTCACACCCCAGGGCAGTTGTTCTCTTTGTTCCACGTTAAAAACTAATTTCCTTGGGCTGGGGATTTAGCTCAATGGTTCTGGTGCCTGCCTTGCAAGCACAAGGTCCTGCATTTGATCCCCGGTACCAAAAAAAAACAAAAAAAAAACTAATTTCCAGGCCTCCACTGTTAACTTTCTTGAACTGGTACAAGTATTTTATTCACTTGACCACTCTCTCCTACTCAAGATATTTTATTCATTTGACTTCTTGTACTTTGCTGGTTTTCCTCCTTGGCTCTTCCTTGCATGCCTCCTTCACGCTCTGTACGTATTTCTCTGTTCCTGAACGTGGAGTACACAGAGATCAGCCTTTGGTTAGATTCCCTTTCTATTTCTGCTCCAATGGCCTTTCCTTAACATGGCTCTAGGCATCATCTTCGCTTACAACTTGGAAAAAATCATCTCTAATCTTTGCATAGATCTCTCCTCCAGACTCAAGACGCGGAGCCTCAACATCCTGAGCGTCTCTCCCTTAATCTGTCCCGGACTGGATCCCTGATCTCCCCGGAACCCCCTCCTCATGCAATATTCCCCAGCTCAGGCCAGGGTCAGCTCTGCCATTTCAGGTGCTCAGGCCACACTTCCAGCAGCAACCTTCATTCCTCTCTTGGAAACCACAAATCCTGGAGGTCTCATCTCCACAGTAGGTCTAGAACCCGACTCCTTCTCGTGTTTCTACGTCAACTTCCCTTCCGAGTCAGTTTCGTCTCGCTGTGAATCACCACAGCGCTCTCTTTACAGATGGCCCAGCCCTGCCAGTCCGATCTGAATCCATCAGGTGTAGAACGGTGTCACACCCTCTAATCTTTTTGCACAAAGCTATCCAATGGGCTCCCTTTTAGCCCAGAAAGAAAAGGGAAGTTGGCAAAAAGAAGCAGCCTTCAAAGGCCTACATGGTTTGCACCATTCCCCTAGTATTTCCTGGGCCTCTCTGCTCCTAGCCTCATTCCACTTTCCATGGAACCTAACTTTAAAAGACACAGCACTATAAGCCCTCCAATGGTCGTGCCTGGCACACCCGGGTATTTAATAAATACCAAGTGTAGAAATGGTTGATGTGGCTTCACTTCTCCTCTGTTTGTTGCATCTGTCAGTTGCAGCATGCACTGAACAGGGAGTGTAGGCATGGACTCTAGTTCAGACTGACAGGGCTAAAATCCCAGCCTTCCACCTGGCATTCCCGCAGCCCAGATAAATTAACTCCCTGCATTGTGCTTTCTTCCTCGGTAAAAAGGATGTGATGAACAGTGCCTAGAATGTAGAAGTTGCCCAACAAATGTAAACTGTGATACCACTGATGCTATGAAAACAGCTACTGTTCTTAGATGATGAACGAAAGAGGATGAAGGACAGCTGTAGATACCTGGAACTTAGCCCTCATGAACACTCCCTGCTCCAATCGGTTCTCTGTATTCACCAAACTTGACCATTGCCCAGACAACTTTCTCCATCTACTTTTCATAGAAACAAACAAAAATGATTTTGTCAAATATTTTTTCAAAATTAAAATGTGCTTATGCGTGATCCCTGATTTGCTCATTTGATGTCTTCAGCAAGGAAAGAGGTGGGTTCTGTACCGCTTGCTCATTGAGCAAGCATGCCTGCCCCCCGCCCCCCCGCCAGCCCATGGGCCACACGCAGCCCTGGACGCCTGGTAACGAGGCCCCAGAAGACCGCAGACTCTGAACATGGTTATTATGCAAGAAGTTGTGTCACCCGTACACACTCACTGCCCAACACAACCCCTTTGCACTCCACACCCAAAAGGCCTGGCTGACGGTTGCCGCTGGTTCTCTGCGATCCCCTCTTTTTAAATGTGCAAAACTGTGGCGTCTTTGTACTCTTTATTGTGCACAGGCTGCGCTTGCTCCAGAAGCCTGGCTTGCCCAGGGGCACTAACACCGCCCACCCCTCATCAGCTGCAGCTCATCCAGATCCTGTGCAGCCTGCTGCTCTCCAGTCTGGGGTTCACCGTGGTTTCTGCTCCCTCCTTCTCCCTGCCCAGCCAGGCAGTTTCCACCTCTGTGAAGTCCGGGTTCCCATTTGTAGGAGGCCGGTGCATGAGTGGAAGGGCTCTGGGGGTGGCTCTGTCCAGCCTCTGCTCTTCAGGAGGTCAGCAGGGGGCTGACTGCCTCCTGAGTGAGGTCCCAGGAGGGCTCTGGCTGGGCCTGGAGTCGATGCCCAGGGTGCGTCAGTCCGGCCTTTCTTACTGGCTGTCCAGCATCTCTGGAATCGGAAGTTTCTCCCACCCCTCCTTGGGACTTGCAGGCCCCTGGACTCCCTCATTTTAGGATAAGCCACTTCTCGGGGAGCCAATGAAAAGACCGTTTTCAAACAATAAAGTGAGATGGAGACCACCAGGGGAGGCCTGAGGCCTGGGACATGCAGATTAGCATCAGTGAGGCTTGCTGTGTGTGCAGGGGACCCTGCACACTGGAAAGTCTCCTTTCGTTGCCTGCCATCTACCAGCTCATGCCGAGGGCCGGGTCTTTTCCGCAGAGAAGCTCTGCAAGTCTCACACCTCCCACAAGGAGCAGATCTTCCCACAGCCTGCTGTACGCAGGAGGAAAAGGCACGCACGCAGCCAGATGCATTGCACCAAGGCTCTACGAGCAGACCCTGCATGAATGTAACCACAACCCGGCAAGAAGGCCCTGCTCCTGCCCCAAGCAGTTTGTCCTTGACTTCTCCACGGAGCCCGTGGTTGGGCTCCACTTGTCCTCAGGGCAGCTAGTGTCTGCTGATGCTGCACCTTCTGTCTGTGACCACCGACACCCAAGCCATGAACATTAACCAACACTTTGCATCCCAGAACACTGTCTCTCCTAGCTGGACCCTCAGTACCACTGGGACCAACAGCTGACTTCCAGCGTGTTACGGGGAAGATGTCACCTCTGACCCTCTCCTCCGGGTTTGCTCAGCCCCAGTCTTCCTCAGGTCGCCTATGCCTGCACAATTTCCTGTACTCGGCCCATGAGACGCTTCCCTCTGTGCTTCTCGGGTTGTTCCAGGCTTTCTGTTCCTCCAGGTCACCAGTCTGCCTCAGCTGCTCCAAGGCCTCCCTCACAGCCAGGGACGCCCATGAATAAATCTAAACCTTCTGAGCATCTGTCTGCTCCTCAAAGTCACCATAGGCATCCTGAGGGTGGATATGGGGCCTCCCGTCAACATGGCCCTACGCCCCAGCAGTGATGGCTCCCTCATTTTTCACTGTTGCTTTTGATTGAGTGATTCCAACTGGCATGGTGGCCGTATTTTCACAAGACGACTGACCTGACCATTCTCCCCTTTCTGAACAGTTCACCATATCTGGGTCCTTCTCAGTTATCTCTGGGAAAAAACCAGCCAAGCCCTTGGTAAGTATGAGGACCATCAAACCATAGCTGGCTGGAGTGGAAAGAAGCTCAGGGTTAATTCTTCTGGTTCAAAATCTCCACCGCTCATTCTAGGGAAAGGAAGCCCCAATAGAGTAGGGAGCCCAAGTTCTTCTGGTGGACCCGTTAGCAGAGTCAAAAGTAGAGTCTCAATTTTCCCTTCTGAATGCAGGGCGCTTGGGAAGCTCCTTCTGAGAGGGGCGTGTTCACTTTCCACGATTTATAAATGAGAAAACTGAAGCACAGCATGGAAGGAACGCAGAAGGGTCAGTGGCAGAGCCGGGAGGGTGCCCAGTTTCCGGATTCTGAGTCCGAACTCTGAGCCCACCCATGCTGTGCACTTTCTGAACTCCCGCCCCCTGCTCCATGTCAATCATCAGAGCACACACCGGGCACGTGCCCCGCCACGTGCGCTCACCCCTGGCTAGCCAGTCCTGAGTCTTCTTCCGTCAGGATGTGGCTGTCCCATAAGTCACCTTCGTGGGATGCGCAAGGGGAAGTTTCCATGGAGAGGCGCGAGGGGCTCGGGCGCTTCCTCCTACCGCGTCTCTGAGGGGTGTGAGGGAAGTGGCTGCTGCCACGTCAATGCCACCCTTGAATGTGTGGGGAGAGGACAGAGCTCTGCCCCTTGCCTGGCTGCCGAGGGGAACTAAAGCTTTGTGCTTGTCCTGTCAGCAAGCCCTGCTCGCTGGCTGAAGGGCCATGCTAGGTCCACGTTACGCTCCGTGGGCCCGATCACCCAGACAGGCATCCAGCTTCTCCCCTTTGCTCTCACCTTTCTCTATAGTTGCTTCTTTATGTACAATAAAGCCACAGATTGGGTTTCTCAAGGGGACCAAAGGCCGTATTCTAGGGTCCTCTGGGAAAATGTAAGGAGGCTGAGACCCCGGGAATGAGGGAGACAGGGACCGTGGCCTGCACAGCACCGATTCTGGGGCTGGGGCAGCGGAGCACAGGGGCCCGACCTTCTCCCCCTAAGGGGAGCTGTCCACGCAGCCTGTCACTCACCAAGCACTTGCTAATGGTAGCGAGTGGGAAGCACCATACCGGGGAGGGACACAAAGACAACTCGCACTGTCTGCCCTCCAGGAGTACACAGAACAGAAGGGGAACCAGACCCCAGGAAAGAGTCACAGTGAAAGGGACAGGGCCATAAAAGCACCGCGACCAACTCTGTGATGAGAGCTGTCTTACTTTTCTCCTTGCTGAGAAAAATGCTCGACACCCACAGGTTACAGGAGAAAAGGTTTATTTGGCTCGCAGTTTGCAGAGGTTTCATCCATAATCAGTGGCTCCGAGGCAGGGTGGAAAACCAGTTCATGGCAAGCAGAAGACAGCAAAAGCAACAAGCAAGGAGCAAAGGACCTGCAAGCCTCTTTCTGCCCCTTATGTTGTATCCAGGCTACCAGGTTAGGGCAGTGCCAAACAAATCAGGGGACTGAGTTAGTGATCACACCCGTAACCCAGCACCACACCATGAAGCAGTCACATACTCTGGATTCAGCCACCTCTGAAAAAGCCCCAACCAAGACTGCTTGAGGCTTTGGGGGACATCTGGACACAGCCATCAGGAGTCTAAAGCGGGATTTCTCTTCCCGGCCAGGAGCAGCCTGACCTCAAATGCAGTGAGTTCTGCTGTGCTGGGCCGGGCATCTTCCTCCTCACGTGCAGCCTGGCGGCCTTGGGGCCTGCCACTCCGTCTGGTAGTTCAGAATGGGATGGGCGTATCTCTCTTCATTGCCTTATTCAGAGTACTGCTACTCAATCTATGAACTGGAGGATTGTGTCCTGCCTGACTTCAGTCCAACAGTAAACAGTTTGGGGCTAAGTATCCTGTCCCTCCCTCTGCAGAGAAGGGTGGAAGGGGAAGCAGAGGCGAGGGCCAGGCAGATCCCACTGTTCCGCCGTCTCTGCTGATGGAGGCTTCAGCTGGCCTTGTCCGGGTCTGGCGCAGGCTGCCAGTTTGGGTCTGAACCTCCCTGTCCCCACCGCAGGGCGTGCTCCTGGCGATGCTCAGCCTCATGGTGCTGGAGCTCCTGGTGGCCGCCCGTGCTTCTGCCTTCTGGTACACACGGGTCTGTGCCACCAACCCTGGGGTGAGTGTGCTGCGTCTCCCCCAGTGCCTGCTGTGTCCCAAGTCTGCGCGATGATGACCCTGGGCCAAAAAGGGGTACAAAAGAGACTCAGCTGTCAGTGTTCAATGACAGGGTTGCCCATGGATGGGTTTCTTCTTGGGGTGCTGCGGCCATCCAGCACCAGCCGGTGCAGGCAGGAGACCCACTGGAGAATTGCTTGCTATGAAGCCAGTTGGCTTCAGAACCCACCTGGTCCAGCCCCTCAGGAAGGAGCCAAGGCTTGGGTGGATTTGCACCAAGAATGACAGGTGCAGGTTGGTGGGCCGAGGGTGAGAACATGGAGTCTCCTGTCCTCGCCACAAACACCTGCCCCTGTAGAGCAGCCCGGTAGCCCGAGTGCCCTGGCTGATCCAACGAGGTCTGGCCAGGACTTCTGCCCTGTGTTCATGCTGTCCTTGCTCCCTCTTAGCTCTCCATACTACAATCTTAAAATGTTTTTATTTCCCCTAAGAGTTACAGCAAAAAAGAAAATCTTTGTAGGGTTTAGATGAATTATGATTCCCCTATGATCCTAGTAGAAAAATTAGTGAATTAACTAGCAGGCTGGGGAATCATCTTTGTCTGAGCTAGTACTGCTGCAGTTATGTGTTATGGTCAAGCTGGACAGGGTGTTACTATACAGAATTGGGGAGGATATGATACTAAAAATACGTTCTCAGTATTCCTTGCAAGATTACAGTTGAAAAGCTAGTAACAAATTTTACCTTTTCCAGAGTGTATTTTCCTTGCTTCAGTTGCAAGATCACATCCAACGTGTCAAGGATTCTTCCAAGTCCTGGGTGTGAGTTGACCTTGACTCAGAGGGAAAAGGAGAAACCCCATGACCAGACTTCCCTGGAGTCTCAGCTATTTAAAACAAGGAAATAAACTTTGAAAAAGAGAAGCTTTCCTTTTCCACTTTCAGTGTGAATCATTCTGAGTCATTTTATTGCTCTTGGAAATAATTTCCCAAAAGCACACATTGGTGCAATTACATTACCCAGTTTCCCAGAATGGCCCTAAACTTCATTGCCTTCTTTAGGTGCCCAGGGGTCTGTGTTGGGAGAGAGCATGCGTGTTCCCGTGCTGGGGAGAATTAACCATGCATGTGGCTCTCCATCCCCATTTCTGCATCGTGTTCACACTCATATTGCTTACATATAGGCTTTAAGGGTTTGAAGAGCATTTTAAGTGCTTTACAAGTAGGACTTGCTTCTCTCAATTAATGACTTCATGCTGAAATATTTAGATTCAAAGACCATAATTCATTGTGATGCTCCCCCCATCCAAGTTGTAGACCAAATTAGAAACTAGACATAAAAACAGTCTCAGCTTTATTACTGTCTCAGGGAAACCCACACGACCTACGACCTACCTACTAAATGAGTTCCGAATACTGTTCCCTGTGTCCAGGACTTGGGTCCCGTCTATGAGGGAAATGTAAGACAGAAATGAATATACAGGTTTTGCAAATGTTCAAAAGTCATCATGGCTCTACACACAAAAGAGTCCCCAGAGGCAGGTCTGCACACACCCTACCGAGGTCCCCAGTCGTGCAGAACACACACCGAATCACCCCACTGCAGACAGGCAGGTCTGTGCACGCCCTACCGAGGTCCTGAGTCACACGGAAGACACCGAGTCACCCCGCTGCAGAAAGGCAGCCACCTGATTCCACACTACAAAGACGCAGAGGACACCAGACCACCAGACCAAGGTACTGAGTCCCACTGTTCCCGCCCCAGAGGTAG